CAGATTATTAATCGTAAGCAAATAGGCACCTAGGTACAATTTAAAAAGTACCTGTCATCCTAAATGCGAGTTGAGAGTTAACTGCGCTGTGACCTTGTGATATTGACCTGTTGCTTGTGTCCGATCACGACCGATGTGACGAAACGCGCTCTGCCTTAATTGATTCTACTAGGTAGACACCTACCTTTACTTAAAAAATACACCAACGTAAAATTGCTAAATAACACTCATCATGATTTCTTACACAAACTACTTGTAATAACGATTTGTAACGGTTAATTCTTAACTATTTCTGTATTACTTGTCTAGTACTAAGTCAGAGTGTTAAGAGAACTGAAACGTTGGCTTATATAAGATCTTTGTCATCGTCATCCCACCTTTTTATCATCATGTTCTCTGGTTCCTGGCCACTTACTTTTGAAATTTTGAATCGTTCTCTAATTCTTTTGCGACGTCATTCTTACTTTGATTCGTTCCATCGCTACTGCATCGCGTTTGTATCGCTGCCAAAAGTCGCCATGTGGAACCGCTCGAAACTCTCGGAGAGGAAAGACCGTATCCTCCTATCATGTAAACCTAAATGCTCATAAGCAGCAATAATACTAATACCTACAGGCCCTTTGGGGTAAGTTCACTAATCATTAAGCTATAAGTTCTAATCTGTAGGCAACGTTTTTGTATTATTGTACTTGTTTTTATACCTACCTGTTTCTGTTACAGCCTTTACTTTACCTATCCTTCCTTTCTTCCTTCCTTCACCTTTTCCCTGTTACCTATACTTCTTCAGTAAATTCATGTGGACCGAACGTACTTCCTATTACTATTACTCAACCCCCCGGCCACAGCTGTAGGGACTTAAGGCTTACCTTACCATTTTACCTTACCTGAGAGGTGTTACAGACAAGATCGGAAGAGTTCTCAGGCATGCGTCAAAACCTAATTTCAAGCCTCTGAGGAAGAATTTGCAGTTCTCGAGTTGAAATGCAACATCCCTTAGGATGCAGCAATTTATAAGCTACCTCTCTAATATACCCGCGGCAAAGAACATCATCGCGTACCTAAATAAGTTTGTAGTCTGTGAGCATGTTGTAGTAACTTACAAATAATACATATATGTTACCTACAAATAATAATAATTTAATTAAGTTCGACAAACCCCAGGTCCTTGCAAAGGATATGAAGAGACGGGACGAACAAGTAGTGGGACAGGTGGTGAGCGCCACGTTTCATGTTGTATTTGTCACTCAAAGCCTTGTCGGCATCGGCGCATAAACATAAATTACATTTTCCAAAATGAACAGATTTCGATATAGAATTAAAGAATACTAAATAGATACTCATATCCAAAGAATAAGATTTATATGAGAAAGAAAGTTTTTTTTAAATTAAATGTCAGAATGTTTCACAATCATGATTTTCAATTATTTTTTTGTGACATTACTCCATTAGTTTGTTATACAAAGTAATACAAAGATAATCAAGTAATACAAAGATCGAACATTTAAAAAATTCCCTCGATCCGGCTGGATTCGAACGAACGCACTATAGTTCGACTAGAATAATGAATGATGAATCTAGGGAGTATGTAGTTAATAGGGACAACCTTGCTATTGCTAACTAAGCTTATGCTAACTCCAAAATTACTGTCCTATTTCGGTAGGAATCATATTTTTCATAGTGAACAATACGGGCTTACTAGTGATAGATCGACTAGCGATGCGGGGGTAGCGTTACTAAAACACATCTTCGATGCTTGGGAAAGGTCCCAGAACGCTATTGGTGTTTTCTGTGACCTCTCAAAGGCATTTGATTGCATTGATCATATTACTCTTATTAGGGAGTTGGAACATTACGGTGTAAATGGCAAGGCGTCGAAACTTGTCTCGTCATATCTCAATGGTGGAATTCAGAAAGTGGACATAAATGGAGTGACTTCTTTGGGTTCTCCGGTAAAAATGGGTGTTCCGCAGGGCTCAATACTTGGACCTTTCTTATTTCTGATTTATATTAATGATCTGCCATTCTTTGTTAATGACCACTGCGAAATAGTGTTGTTTGTTGATGACACATCCTTGATTTTTAAAACAGACAGACATAACATTAACTATGACCATATTAATGATACCCTCTCTAAAGTAGTTTATTGGTTTAATGCTAACAATTTATATAAATTATTGCTTAATGCCAAGAAGACAAAATGTGTTAAATTTGAATTACCTAACGTAAAATCGACTAGTCCAAGCATAGAAATAAACGGAGAAAAGTTAGACCTTGTTAATAAAGCAGTCTTCTTGGGAGTGACCTTAGATAGTAAACTTCAATGGTTTCCACATATATCTTCCCTGGCCAGCAGAATACGTGAGCTTACCGATGTTAGTACTGCTAGACTAGTTTACTTTAGTTATTTCCATCGTATAATGTCCTACGTGATTCTCATGTGGGATAAAGCGGCAGATATTCAAACCATATTTCTATTGCAAAAACAAGCGATTCGTTCTGTGTACCGTCTAGGCTCTCGGGTTTCTCTCAAAGAAAAGTTTAAGGAGACTGGTATCATGACTGTGGCATCACAGTACATTTACTCAAATATTTTATATGCCCGTAAAAATATACATAATTTCAATAAGAAAGAAGATATCCACAATATTAACCTTAGAGCTAAGTTCATACTCATGGTACCACGATTTCGTTTAACCAAGGTAAACAACTCGTTTATGGGGAACTGTATACGTTTTTACAATAAGATTCCGGAGCATATATTAAGTTTATCATTTCCTAAGTTTAAAAACTACATTAAAAATATATTTATTAAATATATTTTGATCGAAAAATCATATTACAAAATTGAAGACTACGTGTTAGATAAAGATGTATGGAAAGACGACACGGCTCCAGAATCCACACAAATTTGATTCAAAGTGTATTCCATAGCATTTAAGTTTATTTGAAAAAAGCAATCCCCAGAGTTTCTTGCTCGTTCTTCTCAGGGAGGTCAGCATAGTGAACGAGCAGTAGCTTAAATGTGACGTTTTCAAGTGTAAATTTATTTTACCTATGGAGTAAATAATCTTTGACTTTGACTTTGACTTGGTTTTGGTTCATAGTGCAACGTCTTCTAGCAAACCGTGCCAGACGCTATGGCAACTAAGCAACGGAACGAATCCGCGGATCTTACCAATTTTTTCAAGTGCTTGTTGCAGGGTGTCTACTACCGTTCTCCGTCCGACATCTGGTCCGAGAAAATTGCTGTCAACTAAGTAATACTCGACCACCGTGAGACGGAAGTTGACAAGGCTCATGTGCCTGTAATTTCACTAGAATCCAACCGGATCGAAGGATTTTTTTCTCAGTGTTCGATCTTTGTATTAATAATTTAAAGTGGAAATGTCAGTCAGGCCCTTGATGGATAAATAAGAATTAATATGCCCTCATCATCATCATCGTCATAACAGCCGGAAGACGCCTACTGTTGAATATTGGCCTCCCAAAGATTTCCAGACCAGCCGATCGGACGCGAGGTGGATCCATCGGTTACCCGCCGCCCTTACCGGGCCTACCACAACCTCTTAATACAATATTACTTTAACCTTACATTGACTTTTCGTACCATGACGCGCTTAAAGTAAGCTTATTGTAATGTAAAAACTATGATGTTTTATTGGCAG